TGTTTTACCATCATCTTTTTGCAAAAATTATAAAACCACCAGAAAATTCATAGAACACACCAGAAAATTCATAGACACACCAAAATCATACCAGATTAAGCAATAATGTATAGAATACTTACAGGATATTTGAAGCAACCCCAAAACCTTCGCCCATAGTTAAAACGAGTTAATGAAGTTTTCTTTACTGGTGGAAGATTGTAGTAGCAAAATCAAATTTGTTGACAATTCAAGCGTGATTGTGGGGTAGAAGGAGAACCAAAACCCTAACTGTCTCTCCAAGACATTGTCAACACCCAAACTTCTTGAATATGCCTAATGATTCCTGTTGATTGTTGATGGAGTTATACTTTTCTTCTAGGGTTTCTCATGGTTTCTCAAACGATGGTTCAAACAAGGATGCTTCTCAGATGGTGGCGTTCAAAAGGAAGAAAGAAATTGGGGAAATGAAAGTGATTTGGGGATCGAAATCTAGGTTTCAAAGAAAGGAAGCAATTGATCTGGGTTTTGAAGAAAGGAAGAAATTGATTTCTGGTTGGGGATTTCAATTTAAGGATCATGATTTGGGTTAATCTCAGATGGTGGGTTTCAAAAGGAACAAAGAAATTGGGGAAAAGAAAGTGATTTGAGGATCGGAATTTGGGTTTTTAAAGAAAGTGATAAACTGATTTCTGATTTGGGGATTTTGAATTAGGGATTTTGGTTTGGGTTAATCTCAGATGATGGGTTTCAAAAAGGAAGAACAATATTAGGGAAAATAGTGATTTGGGGATTTCTTATTTGCTGTGAGAGCTGATGTGGCAAGGCAAAGGTGGCAAAAAAAAAAGAAAAGATTAAAAAAGGACTAACTGAGGTGGCCGTTTGCACTTAACGGTCAATAAACAATGCCGTTACGTTACGGTGCATGGAGGGACGACATTGATTGGGTTTTGAATTGTAGAGGGTCGACAATTGAAGTTAATTAATAGTAGAGGGATGACATGGAGCCAATAGGTAGTAGAAGGTTTAATTTGCACTAATTTTAATTGTAGAGGGATGATAGATGGCATTAACCCTATATATAGATATGTTTGTATGTTAAAAAAGTGTTTTTTTTTTTTAATTTTATTTACAGCAATTATCTTGGTTTAACTTGAATAAGTTTAAATTTTTTAAAATAAGATCTCGAGTTTAAATTTTATGAATAGAGAAACAAATACAGAGAGAACTTGCCCTCTTATGGGGTCCAATATGACTCAATTTTAAATTAATCAGATCAAATATTGAAAAATTAATTAAAAAAAAGTGTTTTTTTGTAAAGTTATTCACCTAAATTTTTTTAAAAAAACTTATTTAAAAATTTATTTTTTAATTAATATTTTTAAAAATCGACTATTAAATTAAAAATTATATTCATATAAATTATACATATCAAATTTTAAATTATTTTAATAAACCTAATTACTTTGTTTTCTTTTATCAGTGCCTAATTACTTTGTTTTCTTTTATCAGTGCCTAATTACTTTGTTAATTATAAAAAATTCAATACTATTAAATATATATTAGTTAATAAAGTTTTTTTTTCTAAATTATAAATATTAAGTTAATATAAAAATTAATATGCATGATTTATCTAAATAAAATTTTAAATTCAATAGTTAATTTTTAAAAATATTAACTAAAAAATAAATCTTTAAACAAGTTCTCCCAAAAAATATTTTTAGAGAACAAGCTAACATTATCCTCTCTCTATATATATAATCCCAGCTAATCTCCAAATATTGCCAGTTATAAAGGGGGCGAAAATAGAAGAACGAGATGAGCATAGCTGAATTGGAAAGCGTCTCAGAAAGGAACATTGTCATCATGCAAGATATGTCAAGGTCACGTACATGAAAACCGCTGGGTGATCACATACACCCTGAATGCGGAACCAGAATGCATTAAGAAAATGCATACCATAAAAGGCCAGGAGCTCACCATTTTGCTTTCTGGTTTCAGAACCCAATCAAGTTGGAACTTGTCAATACATGTCTTCATGTGTAGGAGATTAAAAAGGCAAAGTTATTCCAAATATATATGTACAAAAAAATAAAAATAAAAAAACAATGATATCAAATCAACAATTGGACCATCCTTACTATCTACAGCTAGATCTAAACCCTACCTTAAGATTTAAGAAAAACTAGATTTAGCAAATAGCCTTATCATAGAGCTGCAAAGTCCAGGTGTGAGTGAGATAAAAGATAAATAACAAGAAACTAAAAACTGATAAATGAACCAGCTTAGTATAGCATATCTCATATCTTTCATAATTCTGAGTTACTACTTTATCCACAGCTACCTAGAATCCAAAGGCTAGAATATACCATTAGGACTAGAAATAATGATGCAATCAAGCTCAACATAATTGCATTAACCAAAACACCGCAAAGACAAACTGCTTTACCACATCTCAGTTGACAGTTGACATGGCTGTCAGTTTCTTGAAGCCTGGAACTTCACACAGTCTATTGAACCATTCTTCACAAAGTCTCTAGCCAGAAGATTCATTACCTTACGCAATGATGATCTAAATCCAACTGAGCTACTCTTTTCAGTTTTATTAACATCTGCAACTCCATTTTTAATCACGACAGACCCTACCAGAGCACCCTCAGCATATGCTGAGCAAGCAACAAGAATATCATGTGCCCGACTGCAGAAATGACCAACAACAAAGTCTTGAAAATGCTGCAAAAGTTTCAGATTAATTAGATCATAAGGTTACTTTATAGTGCAACAAAAATGGGAAGAGACAGTAGTTTCAGGAAGAAGAATTCATGTCAAATGCACGAGTCTTATCTATCTCTTATTCTATCCAATCAACCATGCAAAAGAAAGGAAAAGATACTATATCAAACTGAAATCACAAGTACCAACAATCACTGATGAGATTGATTGGAGATAAGTATGGCAATTTTACCTCAGGGGGTCTTCTAAGTGTATAAATCATAGTCTTCAATGATAGAATAAACACCTCCTCATTGTACTGGTTGGATTTCTTCTCACCCTCAGCCCCACGATATGAAGATTCATACCCCGGTTCATTAAAGAAGGGTTTTGTATTCAGAATTAAAGCTTGTATAGAAACCAAAACTTGCAACATGGTTGATTGCCCTGGGACCCACATCTCAGTCTGTTTACCAGGCCAGGTGCCCAAAAGACTCAGGCATACTTTACCACAGTTGTACAGATTTGGATTCAATCGAAGCCCACCAGAATAGTAATAGACCATCTGATAAAAGGAATTCAAAATTCCATTAAACACACTAGAGTATATTTATAATACTGAAAAAGTGGGCAGAAGAAAGAAAATTACTGGGGGCTCATTAGGATATTTTGGGGGGAACAGACAATCAAAGACAAAAAGGCCATCATGATAGGGAGTGCCAGAAGGACCTATAATGACAGCTCTCAAGAGGTCCATCCTCAATTCACAAACCCTCACAAATATTGTGTCTGTAAAAGCAAAGAGAGAAACAGATCAAACAAATGGAAACAATTGATGAATGGTGGAATCTAGCATCATTAATTCTATTTTTTTTTTTTATAATTACTGTTACAGGAATTTGGACACAAGGTCTACTTCTTAGACAAAGTATGGCTACCAATCTATGCCTCATCTCCAGTAATTTTCATAATTTATAATTTCAGAAATATGTCTCGTCTTCAACAAAGAAACAGGAAGACAGGAACAACCTGCCGAATCAAGTTTTATTCTCAACTTGGTGCACTTAATGTAAAAATCAATAGAGAAAAGTAAAAACTAGGACTTCTTGGGACTGACTGTGAAATTGTTTAAATACCCTTAATGAACCTTCCTTGTGTGTTTGATTCATTAAGAGTAATTAATTCTTTTCATTTTCATTCTTGGCATTTTAATTGCCAAGACATCATGATTTTCTGCAATCCCAAAACAATATTATTCAGCAATAAATTGACAATGGTTGTACATTGGCTTGCACAAACATGATAATAGCTGGTGCTCATAAAAACAGAAATTGTGATGCACAGACCAATATAATATTTTCAGAGCAGTCAATGCCATAACAGCTGTCTGAGCATACAGATTGGAACTCACCTGGTAAATCCTTCTCCAGAATTTTCCACTCCTCAGTAATTCTCTTTGCCCACTCATTGGTTTGCTATCAATAAAGAAAGCAAATCTATGTTATATTGATCCTGATATACTTCACACACACACACACACACATACAAGAGTAAGGAAAGAGAGAGAGAAGAAAACTATGATGCATTTTCACCTTCTCCCCTGATGTGACTAAACTGTTGTAGTGATGGTCTAAGAAATTATCAACAATATCAAATTGTTTAAAATTTTCAAATTTAAGCATAACTCCATCATCTTTCTTGTCAGACTTTGACTCTGTAGGCACAAATGAACCGCTGGTAGAAACTGATTCTGGTTTGCTAACAGCCAGATCAAATACAGTGGCCTTCTTGCATTCAGCAGTGTCAGGAATCACCAAAGTGCCAGGAATGGATGTAAGGACTCCTGTTGGAGCTGGATCTTTCAACCAAGGAATTGGTGCTTCTACCCCAGAAGGAAGATCAACATTATCAAAATGAGATTGCATAGCCTCATAATCATCTTCATACAGAAAACAATCATTATCACCATAATCAGAAACATCATCAGCACAGTCATCACAATCCTCATCCTTAAAGCCTTCTTCGTCATCGTGATAAGACAAATCAGAGTTTGAACTATTAATATTATTGGAGTTAATTGATCCTGATGTGGAACTCTTAGGAGGCTCAACTATATCCATAAATCCTGCAGAAATAACTGAATTCCCCAGATCATGGGCTGAAGCATTCTGGAGAATGAGCAATTTTTAAAATCATATGCCAGCTGATAATGAATGAACAAGAACTATAATAAGGTAAAGTTGCTTCTAAAATTCTGACAGCATACCTTAACATAATCTTCCCAATCTTCATTGTAACTTATTTTGGCTTTTCCCTTGATATCCATGTCAGCTTTTTCAGCATCAATCAAAACTTCAGTTGGATCTTCTTTTATATCCATCACATCACAAAAGACAACCTAAATAGCAAAAAGTGCCTTGCATGAATAGCTTTTGCTTGAAAATCATACAATCCAAGCATGTTAATGAAGCTTATAAATTCCCACAAGATCTCTGCAATATAATGACTTAAGAACTAGATATATATTAGGTTCACAAACATGGCTCTACATTTGTGCTCAATAGGTAACTGGATTCTCCTTATAAATTGGGTTCACAGATAGCATTAACTTTTCTTGTTTCTTGGGAAGGAGAGTCCAATTACCTATTGAATTTTAATTATAATGTGCTCTACAATATTTTGACTTAAGAACCAGATATAAATTTGGCAGTCTGTGTGTATGGGGATGGGAAAAAAGAGATGCAACACAGGGAAGTAACTGTTATAGTTCTAAAAGGGCCTGTTTTCCACCAAAAGAGCTTCAAAAGAAACCTGGGAAAGCATAGCCATGTTTCTCTGCTTGGAAAAAGACATATATAAGAATCAACTGCATAACAGGTGATAATATATGTTATCTCAAAATCTGAATAAATCCCTATGGTGTGATAAAAAAATCTTCACAATCGCACCAGAGAAAAATTTGAAGATAATGTTGATAAAAGGTTGTTGTCGTTGTCGTTGATAATATTGTCCCAAAATATGAATAATTCAATCAACATATACAAAGAATGAAATGTATTTGTGAAGATTGATATAGAAGTTTAACTTCCACACATAGACAGAAGGGGAAAATGTTGAAATAATAAAATTTGAAACTATTTTCATATAATTCCATTAAATTTCAGTAAAAATTGTGGCAAATAGGTAGTTCATGATATTTTTGAGATATATCAGAAACTATTGAGATTTTTCCAAGATATATTGGGTGCACAGAAAAATGTGAAACCTATACTAATAATCTAATTTTTCAAAATCTAAACATATGGAAATTTCAGGACTTCAATAAATATTGGAAAACACAGTTAAAAGTAATCAGTAACATATCTTCCAATATTCTAACTCAAAAATATGAGTTTACATTAGAATGCTGCCAACATAGCTGAAAACAATATTTGCAAGAGAATCAATCTATTTTCTGACACCCAATCTGATTTAGAATATATGTAAAGAAACAGGTAAAGAAGAAAAAGACTCCTTCTGGTAATGTCCATGCAATGAGAAAAAAAACCCAAGAAGCCACACCCAACAATAATTGTGGCTAAGAGCACACACAACTCTACTATCAGACCGCTGAATTTTCTATATTTTCATCATCTCAATTCACCTGGATATTACACCGAACCACTAAATAACAATAATACTGAATCAAAATTGTATCTTTCCCAGCATAATCCAATAGATTCAGCTACTAAGAAACTAGAGGAAAACAAAAAAAAATTAAAGCATAGGTACAATCGTCAAAATTCTCTTTTTTGTCATATAATTTAAAACTTGCCCTATCAACCAAACAATTAAGAGTTTTAACCATTCTCGTCAAAAATTTTCTCAGTAGCCAAACATAGAGCCGAGAAACTGACACTAATCGCGATTGCCTTAAAAAAACATTACTATAAACGAAAACGATTGGATGAGATCCTATGTACTACGCAAAAACCACAAAACCTCAACATTACTATTATAAACGCCAAAAAAAAAAAAAAAAAGGATCATTGACCATAATGATCCAAATTGGAATAAATTTAAGCGTTGGTGATGGTGATAACATCAAGGGCTGAAAATTAACATCGGAAAAGGCAAACCTAACGAATCGAAGAAACGAAATTGGAAGAGAAAGGAACAAGGAGAAAGAGGAAATACCTCGTTGCCGAGTTTGAATCTCTTGGGGATCGAATGGTCGTCGTCCATGCGAAAGTGATTGAGGCAAAAATAGAGGAAACGGAGCCCTTGAGGTGAGAGTACGTCAGGCCCACTAATAGGATTTCATTTTTTCTGTCTTTTATTATTATTAATATATGGGTTTCTGGTAAAATGGTTTTGACTGTACATTATTATTATTATTATTATTATTAGGGTTAAAGCCATCTGTCATCCTCTACTTTCATTTTTTTTTGTTCATGTCCGTCCTTGTACTAACAAATTGTTCATTGTCATTCCTCTACTTCGCAAACAGTGGCCATTGTCATCCCTCTACTTGGTTTCTATTGAATGTCATCCTTATTTGGACACCGTTGTTGGGGTCATTTGTTTTGATCATTAAGATGCAAACAGTAAACTATTAGTTCAATATTTAAGTACTTTTTTTACACTATTCTAATCAGTAGGAACCACATGCTATAAAAGCTCCTTTCTTTTTTAAAAAAATCTAAAAAGAAAATTTGAAATGGATGTATTGTGTTGGAATTTTGCTACCATATTGGTTATGTATAGTTGTTTTCATCTACTATTTCTCCAATTTTAATTACACTTCTCTTAATTTGAGTTTCTGCCTTTGGGATCCATTTTTGTAATTTCTAGTTGAGTTTACTAATTTCACATCGAAGCTCTTGATTTTCAAGGGTATTTAAAATATATATAAATTAAATATAAATATATATATGTATATATATATAAATAAAGTGCTCACGCATGAATATTTAATTGATAAAAATTGTTCAGTAATCCTTTGATGCAATTTGTATTAATAGAACTAAATTGTAGTTTGCGAATTAAAGTTGTAATATCCCAAATTTTTTATATTTTGGCATTTAATTAGGGGCTTAATTGTGAGGAAATAATCTTATTGAGTCTAATTACAAAAATTTCTAAACTTGAGGGACTTAAAAGAGAAAAGGATTTGGATAAGGATCAACTATTTTTTTTCCTTCTTTCTTCTTCCTCAGCCGCGCGTCTGCTCCTCTTTTTTTCTCCCCTGCACCGAACAAGAACCCATCCAAGCCGACAGCACCCAATTGAGAGAAACGGTAAAAAGCTTGGGGATTTCTCTTTCTTTTCTTGTTCTAGAACACATATAGAACCCAGAAATCTCCCCCTGGAGAAAATCCCGGATCTGCCCTGCTCTTTCCTTCCTTCCGTCGGCTACTCTTGCTTGTGGGTGTGATTTTTTCGGTTCTAGTAAGAGGAAACACCCATTAAATTCTCTGTTCTTCCTTGAATTGGCTTAGGTTTACTCCAATTTCCTTTGGTTTCTCCAATTTCCGGTAGATTCCCCCTGAATTTCTCCTGCACTTCCCGCCGGTCTTCCCCAATCTACAGCTCCGGTTTGTTTGCTAAAAATTCCTGGTATGTGATAGCTCCATTTAAGTCCAAATTATCCATTTAAATTGTTGCCTGTGATGTCCGAAATTCTGCAGTAATTAGGGGATAATTCCGTAGCTTTAGGACAAAATTTAAGCATTAATACAAGTGGAATTTATGTGATTGAATGTTAATTGACTGCTGTGAGATTTTGGAGAAAAATCCCGTGAGATTAACTATGGTTTTGCCAATTTTTGAAGGTTGCAGTCACTGTTCACTGCGTAATTACTGTTTATAATACTGTTCACAGATACTGTTTATGGGTAGTTACTGTTTATACACTGAATTTCAATTATTTGGAGTAGAAAATCTCATGGAGTACATGAGTTATACATGTTGATATAAATGGCATTATGATTAGAGGGTAGTTGTGGTGATTTCTTTTGGATTCATGGTAGTATGGTTATTAATTCTTGAAATGTTTTGGCTAGATTCTTGATTATTCTGTCACCCTAGCACTTGGAGTGAATTTTCTGTGTTACGTGATTTGAGGTAAGTAAATTATGGTAACGTCTTCCGATTTTAAAGCACATTTTAGCTTGTTTTTGAAGTGGTGGCGGGATTAAACCTATTTTACACAAGTATGATCGATTTGAAATGAAATTATTATTTTTTTTTATTGATTTGAGCATGCTTTCTTGGAATTTACTTAACTACCTTGATGATTTAGAAATTATTTGTAAATTATGATTTTCTTGTTAACTTCTGCCTGTTTTGTCTCCGATATGGTCATGTTATTCGTGTGCCCGCTAGTGGGAGATATATAAATGCTAGCACATGTCGACATGTTATTAATAGAACCAGTTCGTTTCTGTTATTTTGAAATCATGCTAGTGGGATTATACACTAGTAAATCGTGTGCTTGTTAGTGGGAGGTTTATAATACTGGCCATGACCTATAGAGGAGACGTCTATTTCATTTCTATACTGTATCCGTTTTTTGTGATTATACTTGTTGGCATGCTATAAGTTTAATTAAAGGCTATCCATATTTACTTACTGAGTTATCTCATAGTTTTTCCTTGTTCACCATTTCAGGAAGCAAAGTCAAGGATGGGGAAAAACGAGGGGAGTAATGAGTTAGAAGGCTAGCCATCTTGTAAATTGAACATAGATTTTAGATATAAATCATGATCTTATAAGCTAGACTTTATTTGGAGATCTTATGATATTAGAGTAAATTTTATAATTTTATGTTCAAATTTTGTGATATCAAATTTTGGTATGATAAAGTTCCGAACCTTGTGCATTTGTGAGACCCTCTCACAAGTGTATGGCGTTTGTCACGTCCCCGGATTTGGGTTCTGGGGTGTTACAAAAGTACAATTTTGTCTATACATTATGGGGGTGTTTGTTAGGATAATTCACACCAATTCCTTCATTTTTTGTTTGTTTAATAACAATATCAAGGTCCTTGTCATTCTGTTTGCACCCTAGTAATTTACATGACATCTTTGTTTTTATATCAGTCATATTTTCCCAACTCACAAAGTATATAGAGGTTTGTCTATACATATATGAGATGTTTATTGGACAATGCACCCCCACGGCTTTTTTTTTTGTTCATTTCAATCTTTATGTTGAAATGGGGGAAAAAAATATGCTTGGGGTTGAATTCCCCAGATCTGCATTGTTATTTCCTCATTTCACCTAGAAAAAAAAAA